GACTTCGCTGTAAGAAAGATAATTGTGGAGAATAGACCTAACTGGAGACTTACTCTGATGTCTTAAATTGTAAAAGCGCGAGCTGTCAGAGCTTGTCTGACAGTTAAGAGCTGGACTGCTGTTTGCTGATGCGTAATAACTTGTTAGACTGTGGTAACCGTGTGTCTGACCCCTGTGGATAAACATCAAATACTGGTAATGTACAACAGACATTTTCAAGTTAGTTTAACAAACATGGTCATTAACATCCATTAATTCAGGGTTGAGAAACTCTTTAACAAATGCATGACCTGAACATTTTTTTTTTATTTCTCAATGTTAAAATATCAACCTTTCATGCACACCCACCAAAGAAGTATGATTAACTGAATTAGTTGCTTTTTCTAAGAAGAGAGTAGTCTAAACTGAAGTAGGTTAAACTTACTAAAGCTTGATTTAAAATCTGAAATTTTATGTTAGCCTGATTATATTAATCCATATATATATATACATGGATGAAAAACTGGACATGAGCCAGCAATGTGTGCTCGCAGCCCAGAAGGCCAGCCATATCCTGGGCTGCATCCAAAGAAGTGTGGCCAGCAGGTCAAGGGAGGTGATTCTGCCTCTCTGCTCCACTCTGGTGAGACCCCACCTGGAGTCCTGTGTCCAGCTCTGGAGCCCTCAGCACAGGAAAGACATGGACCTGTTGGAGAGGGTCCAGAGGAGGGACACAAAAATGATCAGGGGGATGGAGCCCCTCCCCTGTGAGGACAGGCTGAGAGAGTTGGGGTTGTTCAGCCTGGAGAAGGCTCCAGGGAGACCTTGCAGCCTTCCAGTACCTAAAGGAGGAGGCTTGTAAGAGAGATGGGGACAGACTTTTTAGCAGGGCTGTTGTGGTAAGACAAGGGGTAATAGTTTTAAACTGAAAGAGGGTAGATTTAGACTAGATCTAAGGAAGAAATTTTTGACAATGAGGGTGGTGAAACACTGGCAGAGGTTGCCCAGAGCGGTGGTAGATGCCTCATGCCTGGAAACATTCCGGGTCAGGTTGGACGGGGATCTGAGCAACGTGATCTAGTTGAAGATGTCCCTGCTCACTGCAAGGGTGTTGGACTATATGAACTTCAAAGGCCCCTTTTAACCCAAAGATTCTATGGTCATAACCACCTTCACAGAATCCAAGTCTTTGAAGATGGAAAGACATCTCAAGATAATCTCATCCAGTCCCCCTACTCAAAGCAGAGGCAGCTGGAACAGGTCACCTGGGTCAATGTCCAGGCACATTTTTAATATCTCCAGGGATGGAGACTGTGCAGCCACTCTGGTCAACCTGTTCCAGTTTTTGACCACCCTCACTGTAAAAAAAGTGACAGGTTATCTTTTGTGAACATCATCTTATGCTCAGATGGAATTTCATTTACTTCAATCTATTACCCATGGCCTTTTTACCTTTAAGTGGGCACCACTGAGAAGGATCTTGCCCCATATTCTTCATTCCTTCCCACTGGCTATTTATACACTGATAAGATTGCTCTGGAGCCTTCCCTACTCCAGGCTGAGCAGTCCCAGCTCTTTCAGCCTCCCCATGCACGTCAGATGCTGTAATCCCTTGATCGCCGTTGTGGGCTCTCGCTGGACTTGCTCCAGTGAATCCCTGTCTCTCTGGTATTGGGGAGCCCAGAAGTGAACCCCGCACTCCAGGGGTATCTTGCCAGTGCTGAGTGGAGGGGAAGGATCTTACCTTGACCTGCTGGCGGGGCTTTTCCCAATGCAGCCCACAAAGTTGTTGGCCTTACATTTCTGGCTCATGTTCAGCGGGTGCTTCTGTGCCAAGCTACTTTCTATCTGGTCATCTGCCCCACCACACCCCAGTGTGTTCTGGTGCTGGGGGATATTCCTCCCCAGGTGCAGGCCTTTGCATTTCCTTTGACTGAACTTCATGAGGTTCCCGTCTGCCTATTTTTCCAGCCTGCTGAGGTTCCTCTGTATGGCAGCACACCCATCTGGTGTATTAGTCCCTCCTTCCAGATTTGTGTCATCTCTAATCTTGCAGTGGGTGCACTCTGTCCCCATGTTCTGGTCATGAATAAAGATGTTAGAGAGTATAGAACCTGATACTGACCCCTGGAGTATACCATTAGTTACTGGCCTCCAACTGCACTTTGTGCCACTGGTCAAAATCATCTCAGCCCAACCATTCAGCTGGTTTTCAGTCCATTTCACTGTACACTTAGGTAACCCATGCTTTATCTGCTTGTCTATGAGGATGTTACAGGAGACAGTATGAGAAGGCTTGCCGAAATTGAGATAAACAACACCCATTGCTCCCTCCTCATCTGCCAAGCTAGTAATCTCATCATAGAAGGCTATCAGGCTGGTTAATCAACATTTCCATTTCGTAAATCCATGCTGTCTAGTCCTTTTCACATTCTTGTCTGGAAGTGGTTTCCACGGTTAGTTTCTCCATCACCTTCTCTAGGATTGAGATGTGGCAGACTATCCCTTTTTCCAAGTCACAGAATCACAGAAATCACAGAAACATTAGGTTGGAAAGGACCTTCAAGATCATCAAGTCCAACCATTATTCCAGTGCCACCATGTCCCCTACACCATGTCCTGAAGCGCCACATCCACACGTTTCTTGAACACTTCCAGAGATGGCGACTCCACCACCTCCCTGGGCAGCCTGTTCCAATGCCTGACCACCCTCTCAGTGAAGAAATTTTTCCTAATATCCAATCTAAACCTCCCCTGGCGCAACTTGAAACCATTTCCTCTTGTCCTATCGCTAGTTACTTGGGAGAAGAGGCCAACACCCTCGTCGCCACAACCCCCTTTCATGTAGTTGTAGAGAGCGATAAGGTCTCCTCTCAGCCTCCTCTTCTCCAGACTAAACAACCCCAGTTCCCTCAGCCGCTCCTCATAAGACTTGTGCTCCAGCCCCCTCACCAGCTTCGTTGCCCTTCTCTGGACACGCTCCAGCACCTCAACATCCTTCTTGTAGTGAGGGGCCCAGAACTGAACACAGGATTCAAGGTGCGGCCTCACCAGTGCCGAGTACAGGGACATGATCACTTCCCTACTCCTGCTGGCCACACTATGTCTGATACAGGCCACGATGCTGTTGGCCTTCTTGGCCACCTGGGCACACTGATGGTGCAGTCATTGCAGTAATTCTGCTGGGCGTTCTTTTTCTACAAGTTTAAAGGCAGAACTGAAGTATGGCAGTACATTCAGCATTAGCACTTAACTGTGTTTTCAGGGTTTTTTATTCTCCTTGTTTTGATCTTTTTTTATTTTAAATGATGGGGCGGGATTTCTGCCAATGTTGTTACAAAGTTTTCCCACAAGAAATGTATTAAGAACTGTAAAAGCTGTGAAAGAATTCTGTTGTTCTTTATACACAGGATTTAGCCATCTAAGCAGCCGTAAGCAAACAGAAAGACTGCACACCACAGATCAGTAGGAATTTCTTACCTATTATTATCAGTTTGTATTTGATAGCAAATGCTGTCAAAGAGTAAGACTACTGATAGTCATCTTCTCTGGGAAACCATTAACTTATTTCAAGTTTTTTGTGGAAACCAGACATTTATTTACATAGCTTATTCTGGTTTCTTTTAATTTTTTAGACAACAGTTATACATTGAGTTTTAAATTTAAAAATTGTATTGCATTTGAATTTGGTTTAAATTACATAAAAGCTTCACAGGTTTTTTTTTTAAAGTTCACTTTCCATTCAAAATGACTCGGTTCAAATAGCCTCTAAAATAATTACATGTATGAATGTGCATAATTTAACTTTCGTCTTGAACTTAAGTAGGCTTAAATTGACTTCAATTTTATATCTTTCTTTTGGACGCAGTCTGTGTATTTTACTTCTTTGAAGATAATGTTCAAAGAAGAGAATTTAGATTGATAAAGGAAATCTACAGGAAAGCTTTATGCATCTTGGTCAGAATACTTTAAAAATTAAATAACATTTTCTTCACATGGTGTTATATCTTTCCTTTTTTAAAAGATTTATTAATAAAAAGGTGAAAATATACTCTGGAAAATTCCCTGTGTAAAATTGTTTATCTTCTTGCAGAGTTTAGTTCCTGAAAGGTGCTTAAAAAAATCCTGAGCATGCAGAATTTCTTCTCTTAATATTGTGATATGTATTTCAAAGCTTTCCAATGACAGCTGGTGCTTGCAAACCACTTGGAGTTGCATAGGGCCTACAAAAACATGAAGGTGCCTAAATTCCTTTGGGTATTCAGAGCCTTTTCCGTGGTTAAGATTTGATCAGAATAAGAAAAATACACTGCAAGATAGTTGTATATTGTATTTAATTGTTATGTTCAGAGGGTCATTGTAATTAAAATGATTCATAGTCTTATATTTTAAAATAGTTTTAAACAAAGGGGATGAGTGATAATGCTATTACTTTTGGGAAAAAAAGGTTATTTAGTGTTCAGTGTTGTTCATATTATCGTGGAAGTTTTATAACAATACTAATAAGAAAATTTTAACTAAATGGTTTCATGCTGCTATTAAACTGACCTTGAAGTATGTATCTTAATTGTTTTTATATCTTATCTCAACAATCATATTTACGGTTAAATGAAAAATTAATAAAATTTCCATGGTAGAAACTTTACATTCTAGGTTTTAGAACACCAAAAAATCTGTAGTCATACTATAAACTGAAAAACGGGGTGGGGCGGAGGGCAGAGACGGTGCGTGTGTGTGTGTAGCACAGTGACCTGTTATTTCTTGTTTGCTTGCTTTTTGTTTTTAATAGCTCTATTTCTTCAACACGGTATCAAAGTTTAACGTACTGTGAAGCATTTCAAGTTTTAAAAGATGGATGCTGAGGGCTGCGTGTCTTGGATATTTTTAGTGCTTTGTCCACTTTTTTTAAAGTACTTCTTTTCCATGTTTGTTTATATGAATTGTTCATTTGTTAGCTTTCTTTCATAGTTTTTAATATTTCAACATTTTTATCTAATTTATCATTTTCATATTTTTTAAAGGTCCCCAGGTGCATCCAATTTTTCAACTTTACCAAAGATCTCTCCATCTCTATCAAATAATTATAACAACATGAACAACAGAAAGTAAGCAATATACCTTAGAACTTTATTTAATTTAATCACCCCAGTGTGACATAAACAAATTTAAATGTTTTATAACTCCTAGCTTAAGGATTTTGATTTGTTTTGCAATATTTAGATTGTGAATTGTTACTGGTAACTGGTTCATAGTGTAGGTATTATAAAGCATGGTATCAGGAAGTGAAATGCAGTTAAAGATGTTTGGTAACTCTTAGTCCTCAGTAGAATAGACACAAAAAAGAAAGTTGAGCATTGTAAGAAAATACATAAAAGACTTCCTTTAGAGTTTATAATGCTAAATATACTTTTTTTTTTTTAGATGAACAACAAAAAAAGTATGAACTATTTACATTTGTGGTGGTCAGGTTTTCCCTTATTTATTGATGCTAAGGTATTATAGCAGCATATGTGATATCACACATTGATTTGTGACCACTACAGCTGAATTGTTTTAGCTATAATGGTTGTCATAGTGATTATAGCCATTGATTAATTACCAGCAGCTTAATTCTGTGTCTTAGTGCTAGAAGATTTGAGAGAGAGCAGTCTGATAGGTGTGCTTGAATATTACAATAAGCAGAGGCTTAGTAAAAGAGGCTTTTCACTTTTAAGGGTTTTCTTCTTTATATTCCAAATCAGAGATTTAATAAAGAATTTGATAAAACTCTAAAAGAAGAGCTTTCATATTCTAGTGGCCAACTTTGTGTGTAATCATTTTTTTGTTGTACACAACTGTAAAAAAAGTTGGTGAATATAGAAAAACATGGAATTATTTCACTTTAACAGATAATGGAGCATCTTTCAAATGCTTGAAACCAGAGAGCACTCATCTTTAATGCAAGCTGGGGGAAATTGAAGAGGCTTATTCTTACAATTCATTCAAATTTAAAATATTTTTCCAAACATGCATTTTGTGATCAAACATGAAGATGTTAAATATTAAAAAGGTGACATAAATATTAAATATCTTATACAATATCTTCCAGTTAAATACTGCATTTATCAGAAGTGATTTTTCCTAAGGGGTGAAGTGTCACTTGTGCTTCTACCAATTGTGAGTAGTCCCAACTCTCACTGTTAAACAGTTGAAATCCATGTTTTTAACTGCAGTCTATTGTACTCTGTGTGTGAATGTTTAGTAAATAAAAAGTATATTGTATCTATGATTGTGTGAAAAATTACTTGACCAGAGCTGAGCCTCCAGCTGAGAACTAATCTCTCCTTCCCCCATTGCTTATGCAAAAGACAGTTTTAACACCAAAACCAAAGCTTAACAGTTACTTTTTCCTAGGGAGCCACCATTTTGAATCAAGCCAGCAAGGCTTTCTTTTTAATTTTTTTCCTCCCTTTTTTTTTCTTTTTTTAATGTTACCTCCTCCCTAGTGATGCTGTAGTTATTTTTAAGAAGCACTTATGAAACCTGCTGCTAGCTCTTGCAGCTTTTAAAGATAATTTCTTCACTTGTTGTAGATGATTTTATTTTCATTTCTTGGTTTATTTTGGAGCCAAAATGGAAGCTTTTAGAACTGAAGGTAAAATTGTGGGGTTGCTTTTTGTTTGTTATTTTTTAATTTGACAATTTTCACCAGGAATACATGTTTAGAAGGAAATGATGTAAAATTCAGATTTGATAAGGAACTGGTCCTCTGAAGTGCCTTAACTGTAACTTAAACATTTGTAAACCAGGTAGTACATGTTCTCTATAGTGTTATGAAACACCAGCCATTTTTCTCTTGTAACTCAAAACACTGTATATCTGTATGTTATGTAGGGCAGATATTCGGTGCTGAATTATATGGTTTTCCTTATAATGCAATAATCCAACTATGAGGAGTTTAAATATTTTAAAACCCACAAATTTATAATTCACTACAATATATAATACAGGAGAATCTCTAGCAGCACTTCTGTCTAAATACATGTTCAAGATGAGCTAGTTATGTGATAGAGAAGTCATATCCATTAATATACTGCGTACTTTAAAGCACGTACTTGTTGCATTAAGAATATTTTGATTCAAAAGGTAAATGGAAAGATAAATCTCTCTATTTAATTGTATTGTACCATTCTTTGTTAAGATCAGTTTCTTCCTATGTTCTGCTCTTCTCACAAATATCTCCTTGTCTAAGCACTTCTTTTCCATTAATAAATGCTATCTTCTTTTCATTACTTTTTTAATTAACTACTTAATGACAACTTTGCCTGGAATTTATTTTCATGTTTCTGCCTTATTGTCTCTTACATTGCAAGTTTTCTTTAGTACAATAGCGAAATTATACATTTGTGGCTTTCCAGGATTCATTGGCACCTCCATATGGACATGAGATGCTGTGACTCTAAAAGAAATTTTGTTTTGAAGATAATTTTAGCTGATTTGTAAGGCAGAAAAAGCAAACAACAGGTTGTGTGTAGTAATAGTCATAAATGCTAGTCATTGCAAGCCTGTTTTTGCAATTATTATAGCTCAGCTATAGAGTACAAATTATGTTAAAACTCTGAAAAGTATGATGTTTCTTTATATGGTACACATTTCTGCAATACTTGTCTGATCCAGGAAGTGTTCTGAGAAATAGTAAGTCTCAAATTGGTAAATATTTAATTGTGTGTTGAGCTAGTCATACGTTAGAAATAGCTTGTGCAAATTTTATCAGGTCCAAAGCCTTCATTTCTGTAAATGTGAGCTTGCATTTGATGGAATGGAGGATTCCATATAATTGATCATTGATGTTCTTTTGCCTTTACAGGTGATCTTGTTGAAAGAATAACATAGGAGGATTAGCATAATATGTGTTAGTGGATTCAGAAGAGCAGGGAGAGACACGCATCATTTAGGTCTTACTGGAATTTCTGTTTATTGCTGTTATAAAGCAACACATTTCATATCACCCATGGTATTTTTTAAATTATGTGGGGAGGGGACTAAAAACATTTGAACAGGGATTTTTCTTGGGGAATTAAGTGAAAAGTTGTTTTGTTTTCTTCACTTGTAACCATTGTTTCAGGCTCCTAAAATGACTTGCTTCATCATTCAGTACCGTAAGCTTGTCAGAAGACGGACAGCTGGCAGCTTTGTTCACATGCTTGGTATATGTCAATGTGCTTATTTCAAGAAGTATAAATGTTAATTACATCATCTGTAGAAATAGTTTCTTCATATTCCACCTGAGACATAGGCAAATATTATGAAGAAGGTGATTCTCTTTTTAACTTTGAGTAGTTTATAATGTTATCTTTTGCTCTGCAGATGATGATCATGAGCAATAACAAAGACTGTAGTCTTTGTGTAGTGACACACCCATGTCACTCCCCTGTTGCTTCAGGCATCTCTAAATATTGATGGAACCTGACTATAGGTTTGTTCAAGTGGCTGGTCACAAAAACACATTGGCAGTGCATTACAATGTTTGAAATATTACAGAGCTCAGTAAGTTTTCCAAACTTTTAACTTACTGGGCTCATTCTTGCAACTCACATTCCTTTTGCAGTACCTGTTTTTCATATATGGCACTCCACTGTCAAGTTGTGTCCTTTTGAAAGCTAGTGATGCTTTTACAAACTACTTTGTTACAAATCCATGCTTCCCAGAACTCCAATTACACAATGAGTGCTCTGGATTCATCATCATCTGAAAACTACTTTGAGGTTTAAAGGGAGGATACAAATGGTACATATATGTAATTTCAAATATGGCACATGCAACTCAAAATTTATAGATTTACAGGTAATAAAATCTCATTTGGAAACCTCCTTTTACCATTTTCACTACTTCAGCTAGACAGAATTCTTGTTCAAGTGTCTGAAGATGGTTTCTTTTTTTTCTAGTCTTGCCTTATTTTTTGAGCAACAATTTACTCCAAGAGCCATCAGTGTTTTCTTTCTGTTATTGCCCTTACTTGACTGCCCCGTTCTAATACCACCCCTCTGCTTTTCCATGCATTGTTCCTTCATTAAAGGCAACTTTCTAAAGGTTTTGCAAGAAAAGCAGGTGGAGGTTGGGGACTCGCTGTCACAAGTTACTTGTTTTAGGGCGTTTCTGTTTGAATGAGGTTTATGTAGACTTGCCTTGCATCTTTACTTTTTTCCATTGTTATCCATTTACTACTGACTGTTAATAATACTTTATTTTTTGTCCAGTCTCAAAAGCATGAAAAGCACAATGTAATTTAAATAAAAATAATTCTTCCAGAAAAAATGAAGTTTGCAGGCTGATAAAACTGTAAAGAGACATCCTCTATTCTCCTGCACATAGCAGACACTGTATTTTGCTGGTTAGGTTTTGATAAAATATCAGAGAACCTGAAACAAAAATAGTTTAATAGACCTGACTCACAGGATGAGTGATGATGCTCTAAACCCCTCAAGTGTATTTCTGTGGGCCAGTACAGAAGATGAGAGAGGTCAGAAATTGCTTTCCCTTCATTTGTCCCTTAGAGCAAACCAACACTGGGGATGTATCTGCATTATAATTATCTTGAATTAAATTATCATTATGTTACTCAGCTAATATGAAGAAATCTTTCACATGAATGCACTACAGCTAAAAGACACCAATTGCGTTTCCTAGCTTTCTAGTGTCCCTCCTAAGGTGGCAATTTGTGAAGGGGGGAAGGCTGCAGAGAGGCAAAAGGGGAGTGAAAATTCCCCGGAAAATGACATTAAATCTGTTTATTACCCCTACACCTCCTGAATTTCCAAAAGAGATTTGTTAACCATGTGAAAAGTGTAATCTTTGCGTCAGATGAGGATAGCAGTAGGAAGCAAGCAGGCCTGAAAGTAGAAGCTTATTGTGTACCCTGTACATGTGCATTTCTGTTGCTGCTGTGCACTGTTCAGCTGGGTCAGGGGATGGTTATCTTCAATCTACCGGACATCTGCTGGGAGTATAACATGGCAGAGAGGAAACAGTTTAGGAGGTTCCTGGAGTGTGTGGAGGATAACTTCCTGACACAGCTGGTAAGTGAGCCCACCAGGGGAGGTGCCTTGCTGGACCTGCTGTTTACAAA